TATTTAATCTTTTTAAATTAGTGTTTGATGCATGTCCTTGAACTACCATTAGTTCTTGAGGAAATTTAATGCAAAATTGGTTACATTTTTAATAAGTATCCGTTTTTCAAACCTCGGTGGGATTCCCTTTATAAAACTGGCGGTGACTGCTTGTCGGGAAACTTCGGTGAACTCCTAAAAGTACCGAAATCTCTATTTGTGAGCGTGGATCAAATTCGTTTTCAGTTGTAGGTGATAACAAGTCAACTGGTTCGGACTACTCTAAATAACGATAAAAACATGCTCGTTATTTCCCTTTTTATGCTATCCCCGAGGATAATGAGAGACCGCCCGCAGTCTATCATTCACTTAAATCCTAAGCAGCGCTTACCCACAGCAGTACCCCATAAAAACCTACGAGGGGCACCCCTCCCTTGCAAGGGAGTGCTCTTTTTCCCCAGGTTTTCATACGTCCTCCATACAATAAATTTCCTTGCGTGAACTATTAATAGTTTTGAGACTTATTTATTAAAAACGTTAGAACATTGTTAAACATTGTTAGAGTTTAGCTACACCAAAGAGAGAAGCTGTTTATACTCATAGAATTGAGGTATTTTATAGATTAGTGATAAAAATAATACTTGGATGCCGGACAATATTTTAGCTAATTATTAACTTATTGATAGGAAATATTATCTTAACTTTTGGCATCGACTTTTTCCAGACAAGTTCGCAGTTACAAAGGTGTAATTTAAATTTTTTGAAAAATATCTCAGAATTGCAATGCTGTGAGCGGTGCCATGTTGTATGGATTCTAAACGCTTGGACGCAATAAGTAGCATTACATGCATGTCTGCTTTCCGGTGGTGTCGTTATTTGTTCTTAAAAAAATAATGGAATCGCGCATTTTTACTGCGCATGTTTTTCTCATCGATGGCGCGCTTACCCAAGTGGGGGAGGGGGTACTAACGAAAGCTTTATACGGGGCCTTTGACATACCTAGCACCTAGTTTAGATGCAATACACTATCTTTTAAATACACCCAAATCACAAAACCAGAACGTTTTCTCGACTTTTTTACGGCCAGAAAAAAGCATCTGTTAGCATTTTTGGGTCTTTTTACAGACTGAAATGATAGATTATTTCCCTACCCTTTCATATAATTCAACTAGTGAAATCACAACCCTTTTATATACCTAAAGCCTGAAAAAGTTACCCCTTGCGGGCGGAGTTTCCCCGTATAGGCCATTACAGGGGGTACCCCCCCCCCTACCCCGTTCCTTGGCGCGCGTATAGAGCTTTTTCAGCTTTGCCATTTGGCTGAGCTTGGGGAAGGAATATTTGGTCTTCTTTTCCAAAACAAGCTCGGCTTGGTAAGCCCAGTCAGTAGCAGGCACTTCGAGTAAGTGTTCCGTGAAGTCTACATACTTGAAAATATCTTAGAAGAAACTTTGTCTTTTTGTAAATGGAATTTACTTAAACCTTTTTAACGATTGTACGTACAAAAATGAGGCAAGGCCACTTGCAATGCGAATCCTGTCTCATTATTTATTTACAAGGAATTGCTATAGATTTTAAGAGAACATTATTGTTGCCTTGACAATTCTGTAATTCCTTTCAGTTTGTTTAAAAGAATAGACCTATTCGGCTATTCGGTGTTGGGGAAATGTTGCAATTGGTCGGAAGCTCTAAAGGATACCAACCTGGGCGTGGCTCAAGGTTTGGCTTACCCTCCCCTTCCCAAAGATACCATTCTAAAAAAGATGCCCCAGTGACCATGTGTTTCTGTCTTACTTGTTTGCTAGCTTCCTTTCCTAATTTTCGCTTTCTTCGTTTCTTCATGCAAAGCCGTGAGCAACAGGCCATTTTCGAGTTGTCCCAAGCCTCTGTTTCAAAGTGAGACAGAAGCTATTGATTTGGAATTGATTCTATACTCTTGCAAATACAATAGGTTATTTCGGAGTTCCCCCGGGCCTCTGTATCAAAGCGAGGTGAAGTGCTCAGCCTTTGATATGGAAATGATATTTCATTATCATGCAAATAAAACTCCTTTTCACAAGAAAGGTTGTGCGCTTAGTTATTATTATTATTATTATTATTTTCCGATTTTCAATAAAATTTGTTGTTGTTGTTGTTGTCTTTTTGAAAGTGAGGGTTTTTGGAACTCGGAAGTGGCCTATTCATTTTGACAGGAAAGGTTTTGCACTAAATATAAGCCTCGTTTTGAAAGTTAGAGTTTTTTGGAACTCGGAAATGGCCAAAAGGCCTTTTGCCTCCAAAGACGCCTGATGCTCAGACTATAATAAACCTTTTCTTTTGTACGGTGGAAAACCTTCAGTTGGCCGCATGTCAATCTTCTCAGCGCTACAGTGCAAAAGAATGAATTGTAGGCCGCAATTAAGAACTATTTGGTCAACAAACGAGTTATGCAGGGAACGGTTTATGATAGATGAGCGACTTTTGAGTGTTTTCGTGGACATGGTCCACGGAATGACCGCCTTGTAAGAGATCAGATGTTCCCCGACCTAACCACTGAAACCAAATGAAGCGTTTTATCAATCGAACGATAAGGTTCGCTACTCGAACACAATATAACTCTCACAAAAAATTTAGTAACTGAACCCAATCAAACTTTGATTGAGTTCGATTAGGTTTGACATGGATAAAATTCCGCGTGTTTTGCTGAATGTTTTCTTTTTCTACGGTGTCTTACGACTGAGTATATCCCCGGAGTGATAGACCTCGTCACGGTTTTCGACGCCATCTTGACGAGTAGGCAAACGTGTGAGAAATTACAGTGTTTGTATGAGAATCTAATGTCGAATAATTTCCGTAAAACGGCTGTTCTCAAAAAAACATCAGTTGTAGACTAAAGCTAAAAAAGTTTGGGGGCGTACCTGTGCTTAGATTTCTCCAGAGGCTTGCTTTAGATTTTCCATATATTTGTCTGTAATTTTCCCGGGACTTTCTTACAGACAAATGTATAGAAAATTTAAAAAAGTGGTTCTAGGTCTTCTCGTGCATGTAACGCCCTCAATTTTTTCAGTAGAATTCTTAGGAGAGAAGCTTTAGTTTACAAATCATATTTTTGTTAGAACAGCCGTTCTACGGAAATTATTCGACATTAGATTCTCATACAAACACTGTAATTTTTCACGCGTTTTTTCCTACTCGTCAAGATGGCGTCAAAAATCGTGACAAGGTCTCCCGCAAGGTCTATTGTAGCGAATCTCTGAGTGTAGTGTATTTTTACGTTATCTGAAAGCAGGTCCCGATTGCTGAAAAAAGTTGGGAGATGTTTTTAATATTTGACGATGATGTCCTTTTATTTCTTTAGTATGTTCAAAGAAACGGTGTATTTTTCACTTGAACAATACGACCCGCTTGGTACCTGTGATACGGATAGCACTTTCTATGCCCCCCTCAGTGACTGAGAGAACAAAGAAAAAAAACTAGCTAGGGAGGAGTAAGTCATGTGGTTGGTTAACAAACTGCGCCGGCGTGCTTTCACACCCGCACCAACCAATCATTGCGTTCTGATTTGATCACATGCTAATTGCTATATAATGGGCAAAATCAATGCCTTGCCCACGAGGTACGAAAGATGGCGGAGGTCGGTGCATTTTTGTTCAGGTAAGTGGTATTTTTCTCCTTATCATTGGTTTTCTGGGATTCCCACGGTCACCTCGAGGGAACTTTACTTTAGATCCTGAAAGCAAGCAGAATGCAGTCTTTTCGTTCGAGTCAAAGTGCTGCTTTTTTCAAAAGAAGATCTTGAGGGATTCGTCCATATTCTACCACGTGCTTTGATGAGCGAGGTGTTTCAAAGCGTTTGTAACTGCTTCTTGTCTTCAAGCAAAGTTTAAAATGAATTTTAAGGAACTGGGATAACTTTACTACACGAAGAAAAGTTGATCTGTGTAGTTTCCTGGTTTCTTTCGATACCCTAAGCTTTTCTTTTTTCCAGAAAGGACCTAAATCGTGCAAAGGTATTAACAAATTTTCTATAGGCTTAAGCTTACTACTGCATGCATTCTTAGTATGAATTTAATTTAATTTTTATTTATTTACGTCTTGCGTGATGGCATCCCCTTTACAGAATAAGTAATTTTTGAATAAAGGTTGAACTTACGTACTGCAGTCATAGTTGGTAATTCAAATGCAGTAGTAACTGTGTCCGCCTTGCTCTAAACCAGTTGAAGTTCCATACATTTTCATTTTATTGCTGAAAGTATGAAGTCCAAAAGATGTTTTGCAGCCTTCCCTGTAGCCTGTGTAGGGATCAAAAGGCGAAGGGGTTTGGGAGAAAAGGGAGGGAGATTGGGGATACCCTTTCACATTTTTCTCCCTCTCCCCCTCCCCCCTTTTTTTGGCCTGCCACACAGGCTACTTTCTGGAAATTCCCTACAAGTAATTTTTATTTCCCAGTCAGTACTGGCCAGCTGGTGATGACACAAGATGACGAGCCTGATTCATCTTTGAAGCACCACGTTTTGTGTAGCTTCTTTGAAATTGTGATGCCAAATCGAGGCATTTGTCTGAGGCTGGCCCTCTAATCATGTTAATATTAATTTGTAAAAAGAAAGATACCTGCTACATTTTCCCTGCACAGTGAAGTGACAGGGTCCAAAGTTTAAGCTCCATCTATTCCAGAAAATGTGAGACAACAAAATTTAATTATTTTAAGTGCTGGGTGGCTGTATGATTTTGCCATCAGACTATGGAACCAGGAACACTCAAAATTCCTGGACCTGAAAGGGGTAACATTTTTTGCAAGAATATGCCCGGCAGAAATGTGGAGCTCAAAGCCTATTTTTTTTTGTATTTTAGCTGTGGAACCCTTTGATAGCTCAAACCTTTTGTTAGGGCAATGGTTACTCCTCAACAAGTAGATAACATCCATCGAGCAATACGTTTTGCTTATTCTTGCTATCCTTCCATTCAGTTTATTCGGAACTTCAACGTATTTCACCTTGGGATAGCCGTGAACACCATTTTTTTCAGTTCACTTGTAAATCAACAGCTGGGCCGCCGAGCCTGGAAACAAGGTTGATCGATGGTCTATTGCCCATGTAACCTCATTTCCAAGTTAATATACCATTGAATCAATGTTATATTTGCTTGCACCTTCCAAATTTGGTCAACTCCCATTGGTAATGAAGAATTAGCCAGGGCCTTTAAACCAATCAGAAAGAGTGAAATATTTTGAATAAGCAATAAAGCACATTAACGGCTGAACAATCCTCTTGGTTAATTTTGTGGTCAACATTTTTTTCTTTTACAGAATTATCCTCAAATTGTGGCTGCCAGTGCACTCAACTTTGGTAAGAGATCCATGTTGTAAGAGATACCAGCAAATCCTTTTCCAAAATTAAACTACAATGGAACCTTGATATTATGAACCTCTGTGTGCTGAGTCCTCAGTATAACAAACAATTTTTGTTACCCCAATGATAGTAAAATTTATGGAAAAGAACCTCAATGAAACCTTGTTAAAGTGAACACATTTTTGTCAGTCCCTTAGCCCTTCGTTTTATCGAGGTTCCACTGTAATATATTCTGCATAATCAGAATAAATAAAACTATTTATAGACTGTACAACTAGTGAGTGGTAGAATGATGAAACCTAGAGACTAGAGTCTCTGAATGACAGGTTCTTGAAGAGAGATTCAAATTACTGAACTATCACATATAAAGAAACTTTTTTGAAAGAATACTTGGAAAAACCTTAATAAAGTTGTGTTTTGTTATGGTTTTGTTCCTTTTCAGGCTTGGTTTTTTGGTTCCATCTCTTCCAGAATGGTAAGTTAATATTCTCATAAATCTTTGCTTTTTAGCTGAAACCTGACTAGTAATGTGGCATTTTTGCCAGCAACAAAGTGATGATAACAGATTTATGAAATGGCTAATGCTGGTATGGCTGGTATTGGTATTGTTGTTGTTGATATATATCTGGGACTTCTGTGCTCAAGCAGTGCCTGGTGGCCCTTTAGGTACCTTACTCTTGCTCTTTGGTGACTACAAAATCTTAGTTTTTTCATAGAAGTCGTATCCTGGGCACCCTGGATTTCAAAGGTTTAGAGCACTGGGGTTTCTAGGGTGCAAAGAAAGTCAGTTTTACAGCTCGCCATTTGGGCAAGCTGTAGCTAGCATTTACTAGCCCGAAAGTCATTTCAACTAGCCGGAAAAAAAATTGATGAGCAGGATTGATTACAGTTCTTCTGTTATTCGAATTCTAAAAAAATATCACTTGCCCGTTGGGCAAGTGAAAAACAGAATTCACTAACCCAATAGCAAAATCCAGTAGCCCGGGACTATCGGACACTACTTTCTTTGCACGCTGGTTTCATTAATTTTTCTTAGAGCTCAGCCTTTCCACTTTACTAGGATGTAGACCTTCAAAATTCACTTTTTCATCCTTGTTACATAACTGTTTAAAAACAACAACAAAGAAAAGTAAAGAGACATTACGAAGCACTTTGTTATTGACAAATAGTTTTAGATGAGCACTACTCTTACCCCCTGTTTTTAAATACCCTTCACATGTCCACATTGTTTCCAACTAATAATTCAGTTGAATGCATCTTTTTGATCCTGTAGTTTACTTTCTTTAATAACTCACTGTAATGAAGTATGAAATTAACCAAGTCAATAGTGGAAACCAAAGGTCAAGTCATACGTGATGAAAAGTAAACAAAAACTTTTCTGACAGTGAGTGTGACAAGTTACACTTTGAACACATTCCTCAATTTCTGACGTGACTTGCCAGCTACAAGTTAAGACAAATCTTTCTATTTTGTGGAGGCAATTTTCTTAGTTATCATTTCACTGTTTCAGGAGGTTTTATCTCTCCAAGATGGTTTCCACCAAGCTTTCAGGGGATAATGGTAAATAAGAACATGATATTATTTTCTTTCCAGTAGCTGAGTTATGAAGTTAACCACTTTAGAAATTCTTTTACCCTTATTGGACATGAGGAGGATGCAATCTAACCTAGTAGTAAGAAACTTGATTTTTGGCAGTGTGGGTCAGGTTCCAAAATTTGGAAATACAGAAGTATGTCACAGGCCTTAGACTTCTTGCTCTCAGAGCCTGTTGTTTCTCTCCGCCAGGTAATCTTGAAAAACAAATGCTTTCAAACATTTATTACACTTGTAAAAATGTGGCACTGTCAAACAAACCTCCCTAGTAGATGCCTTGTGGTTTCTCAAATTGTAACTGGGACTAGTAGGTGAAACTCTGTCAACATGGCTAGAAAGAATGCCTTAAAATCTGTTAAGTTTCCAATTTTGAAAGAGATTTGTGAAGATAAAGCTTGCAAAGTCGTGGAATTTTACATGTTTGTATGGTGCAGGACAAATTTGTGCCCCCACCATAAGAACATCTGTGAAATTTTGCATCCTTGTGGAACAATACCTTCGCTCCATTTGGACAAATCATTTTTTAACTTGGTAAGTTACCTTATTTTAAGACACGCTTTCCAGCACTGTTGATGGATATTCACTTTAACTGCTATTTATTAAAAGTTGAAAAAAAAAAAACCTGGAAGTGTATATGAAACTTGTACTTAAAAGCTTGCTGAATTGTACAGACTTCTACACTTCATTGACATTTATCTGCCACCTCACTTCCAATGTTAAACGCTCTGAAAACATGCCTACTTATGCCCAATTAATGCTGGTACTGTAGGTCTAAGCTTCTTCTGAAGGAAACTTAGTAATGAGAGTAGGTAAAGTCACCAGTGATGAAAAACTTCTGACACCTCTTGTATGAGTGTGGCATGAGTTGCACATTGAACGCATTTTTAGTATTCTGAAGTGACTTGCCAGCTACATATCAATGCAAATGTTCTGTTTCAGGGAAGCAGTGCTTTTAGTAATTTATCATGGTATCATTTTAGGTGGTTGCGCCAAGAAGTTTTCCACTAAGGTTTAACAGAACAAGGGTAAGTACAAGAGAGTTTGTTCAGAGTAGTTAAGTGTGAAATTCCATGGTTCTGCAATTCTTTCACTCCTTTAGGCAGTTTTCACAGTCAGGCCGCTAAAAATCTAAACCATTCCATGCATAAAGACGGGAATTTAAGGAATAAAAAAATATATTAATGCAAAGAGCCTCACCAATATTAAGGTCAGGGTGAGCTTGGCTAGTCACCAGTGATGAAAATATCTGACACCTCTTGTATGAGTGTGGCAGCAGTTGCACATTGAACGCATCCTTGATATTCTGATGTGATTTGCCAATAAAAATGCCATCATATATTGCTGCTGTAAGGAAGCAATTTCTTACGTTGCCTTTTTTGTCTTCGTTTCAGGTTGTACTTCAAGATAGTTTCCAAGGAGATGTAATTACAATGGTTAGTTCCATTTATCAGTAGATTGTGCCTTCTTGCAATGAGTCTTTTTAAGAAAGCTTTTAATTTGTAATTTTATATTCTTATTACTACTATTATTTCTGCCATCTGGCCTTAGAAACTGTATGAACATTGACTCTTTTAAAGTACAGTTGAAGACTTGTCTTTTTAAGAAAGCTTTTAATTTGTAATTTTATATTCTTATTACTATTTTTATTTCTGTCCATATATTGTATATATAGATATTCATTTATTTTCTTGTACATATTGTAAAGCGCTTTAGAATATTTTATAGTTAAAGCGCTATATTAAATGTAATAAATTATTATTATTATTATTAGTTTGGAGGTGATTGAAAAGAGCAAGGAGCAGGCCACTTAAGTGTATCTATAAATATACGATGTATACATTAATTAAAACTATAAAAAATTCTCAAATCTGATTGGCTATCAACCGTCCTGATTTCAGCACTAATAGGACAAGGTAATAGGACAGTACCCGTCATGCCTAAGTAATTGGACAGTATGCGCCATCGCACATGCGCACTTAAAGGGCGTTTTTTCACTGCTAGCAAAATATACTCTCGGAATTTCTTGTGTTTTAAGTTAGAAAAGCCTATTCACAAAATAATTTTGTTATAGTTATGTTCAATTGGTAACAGAACTTCATGTCATCCAATTCAGTCTGTAATCATGTTTTGCCAATTAAACAAAAAGGACTCCCACTATGTTGTCGTCCAATTTTGTTAATCATTTGTATGAGTACAGACCAAATTGGACTCCACTCAGTCCTATTACCATTATTTATGACTGTGGCATTTAAATGGTACTTTAAAGAGTTCTGTACCAAGAGGTAAAATTGATCCAAAAAGGATCAAGGGTTGTTCAGAATGAAGGTATTCGAAATAGATTACAAACTTTCCAAGTGCAGAAAACTGTGATGTGGCTACTTCAATGTTCTTTCATAAACAATACAGTTGAACCTCTCCAAAACAGCCACCTTTGGAACAGAAGAAAGTGGCCGTCATAAAGAGGTGCCTGTTGAAGAAAGGTTTCAGCAAGAGTCAATGTATGGATTATTTTTCTGTTGGAACAAATAAAGTTGGCTGTTGTAGAAAGGTTGCCATTAGTGGAGGCTCACTGTAGCACTTGATCTTAATTTGTGAATGTGGAGAGATAATGATGAGAAATTTATCAGTTATCCCTGTCATAGCTATGATGCTGAGATGACACGTCAGGCTGATTCTCTCCAGTAAGACCAAGCTTAAATTGTGGCTTAAAACTGAATTGCTTTGTCCACTGATGACTGATATAATTATTATCTCTTACAGTAACTGGTTTAAACTCCAGTGTCATCATTTCTCTGGAGATTTTCTGAAGAAGAAGGTTAGTTAATTTTTTTTAACTATCATGGTTCTGGCAGCTTTGTCAATACGCTAGACAATGATCAACTGATGTGGTGTGATGAGTGAAATCTTTTTTCCCCATCTTATCGACAATGACGATAAACCCTCTGTCACTATGTGACCAAGCCAAACCTCTCTGACTTCATCAGTTTGTTTTGTACTGCTCGTTTGATGACTTCTGTGATCTTCCTGGATAAATTTTAAATTTGTTCTTGTGTATTTCAAAGCACTGAAGGTTCACTGTGGAAGACACTGACTGCAGCCAAGGCTTACAGTGTAGTTTGGTAAGATTCTTGATGTAGATATAACATGGTGATTTTGCATTGTAGTTTTGACCAGGCCGTAAAATATAAGGAAAAACTGGAACTGTAAAACTGATAGGTAGGAATCAAATGTTTGTCCAACATGCAAGATTTTATCACCTTTAAGTCTATATGGTACAAATTTTTTAAATTTTTTTTTCTTAGATAAGTTTCATTAACAATTCAGAAATTTTGATATATGGCTCCCAAAAACTTTCTTGAATTTTGGCTGTTCAGAAACTGCTTTTCCCCTTCAGAACTGTCTCTGAGACTGAGAACGTGTAAAGGATCAAAGAAAGGCTGATGACATCATATAATGCCAGTTGATTTCCTTAGCCTTCACTTCTGCTTCTGCTGCCATTTTGTAAATTATTGTACATTCTTGCAAATCATTCTGCATCATACTTGTCAATTTGGCCGGTGGTAGGGCAGAGAGGTTTGAAGGCAAATTTGTTTGTTTTGAAGAGAATAAAAATGGTTTTTAAAGATTTTTGACAAGGTCAATTTTGGATACATACCGGTATTTTATACGTATTTTTAAGAATTATTATAACGATCCAGAAAAAATTTGTGTCATATACACTAACACCTCACACCTCACCGATCCTCTTTCCTCTATCTCAGTCATTCGCAATGGTCTTCACATCCTCCCACGATTGCCATCCTGCTTCTGCCCTTTCCTTTTCAACCGTTTGCCTTCAAGTGGTTTTTGGTCTTTCTCTTCTTCCTCTTTTTCCCTCTGGCGCCCATTGCTACGTTGCTGTTGCTCTTTTGGTCCTGTCTTGGTCCATTCGTCTTGCATCTGTGCTGCTTCACCCCTTTACTCATAGGTTTCATGTCTGTTTTTCAGGGGCCACTGGGCTTAACTACCACACAGCCAGTTTAACTTCTCTTATCATAATTGTATTTTAAGGGAACAGACCACAAATAACTGTTGTTGTGTGTAAAATTATCTAAAAGCAGTAACGGTTCATCAGTAGGATGTGCAATTCCACACTTGGTTTCGGCTCCATTGAATTTATATAGTGGATATATTTTAGTATATTAGCTGTGTTACAACACTGAGCCCTGAAATGTTTCCATTGGGATAAAGTTATCAACTTTTTGAAAGGTTTTGATTAATGTCTGGTCTCTTCCTCCAATTGCATTGCACAAAGACAAAGGGCAGTGTCATGCAATGTGAAAGAAACAAGTGGAAGCATTTTTTGGAAAGAAAAAAAAGGAAAATTATTTGTTTTCTAACCAGTGTGATGATTATTAGCCAAATTCGCAGTTTCCACCAGAAAGATAATTGTATCTTGCTGATGGCTTAATTCCTTGGATGTCTGACTGGTTGTTGTTTTCAACTCCCAATAGTTTAATCTTGACTCTCTTTCTTATCCTTACAAAGGTGTGTCTTGTTTTTGCCAGGTTTATTTTACACATATTCATAGACTGGTGAAGGTATGCAGAACTCCAGTTGAGGTCAATGTAAGTAAGTCTGTTTTAAAATGTAAAGGACTGTGTAAAGACCAGTGTGATGAATATCAGCCATATTCGCAGTTTCCACCAGAAAGATAATTGCATCTTGCTGATGGCTTAATTCCTTGGATGTCTGACTGGTTCTACTCTTAAAACAACAGCAGTTAGTAAGTTAACATGTGTTTCGTCAAAACCCCTTTGTTTCTTTTCTAGGTTTCATCTTGGCCAGTTGACAAGCAATGTTGTAGAAATGGAGAGAGCTCACCAAAGTAAGTTTATCGCTGAAATATTTAACAATTATTCTTTGAAATCGAGGTGAATAGTGGCAAAATATTTACCGAGCCACGAAGTGGCTATGTAAATATTCCTAAAGCAACTATTCACCGAGATTGAAAAGAATAATTGTTTTAGTATATACACACGAAGTGATCTCAATAAAATCAGAGAGGAAACCATTCAAAAGTACGATTTGATTGACAGATCAGGTCAGCGAGACACGCGACAGTTTAAAAATAGGTCTTTGTAGAATTTTCAAACATGGCAATTCACAAGCTTATCACTTCGCAAACAACAGCGTAATGACTTCAATGGAACCGCTAAAAGTTTGAATTGTTTCCTTACCTGAGAAGAAAAGAAGAGCTTTGTTGTTTTCTGTTGACTCGCCAAGTTTATAGCCGAGGTTTGTTGTGTCGTTCTTCGCATGAAGTGCTGACAAAAATGGCGATTCGGTTCCTCGAGGTAAGACGTCGTCTTCATGTAGCATTCTTTCTTTTGTTTACTTGAAACGTAGAATTTCTGCAAACATTTGCTTGCAAATTTGTTTGTCATAAATAAACTTCGTTGTTGGGCCAAATTTTTCTTGTTAGGAAACGCTGAGTTCACAAAACGGCCTCGTCTAGGCGAATAAACGGGACTTGTAAACAATCCATCGACCACAAAACTCAACAAGAGTAAGTGGAAAAACGCCGTTTTGAATCCTTCGAAGTCTTTTCTTGGCTAAAAAAAAGTCAACCCTAGGATTCTGTTGACTTTTAAAAGATCCTTCTCTAAGAAAACGGGAAAAAAACGAGCTCACACATTATCCGAGATAGCGAACCAATCAGATTGCTTAAATCACCAAGATCACTGAGTGTGTATATACTAATGCAATTTACTTGCTGTGTTTGGAGTTTATTTTTTAAGCCGGAGTGATGATTATCAGCCATATTCGCAGTTTCCACCAGAAAGATAATTACATCTTGCTGATGGCTTTATTCCTTGGATGTCTGACTGGTTGCAGAAGAATGAATGAAAGTACTTTGCAAAGTTAATGTATTTATACAGGTCAAACTTATATTTTGCAGAAACTAAGGCCTCAGGGCAACATCAAACGTAAGTTGGTAAGTTTTGTTGATCAAGACCACTGCTTGACACAGTCAGCTTTTTTGGATGCTTGTTTGTGTTATTTTTTTGTTTGTTTGTTTTGTTTGTTCATTTTTTAGTACAGGCATATGCCTGCCTTTTGGTGGTTTCTAGTTTACTGACTGGAAGGAGGCAGAAGTCAATACTAATACGTTATTTCTCAAAAATGAAGAAGAAATCAGTCAAAAAATTACAGAACAGTGTTTGTCATGTCAAAACAATTCAGTCTCCCAAAAATTAACTTAATCCTGCAAAAACTGAAAAAAGGGCCCTAAAAACTACTTGCACCCTTTTGCAGGAAGCCTTTCAATATTTTCATGTCTTGCAACACAAAGGACCATTGTCCCTTTGGAGGAAAAAAATTCTTTACATAATATAATATGCATTTTTTGGTTTAGTATAGGTTTCCTGGAAAACTGCCCCACCACCCCTCCCTTATGCTGACATTTTCTCTTGACTGGAAAGTTTGTAGTGATGTTAGGTTGAGGGAGGGGTGGGTTGGGAGTTTCCCCAGAATGTTATACTGATTTGGATACACTATGCCATATAATAATACAAGAGGTAGATTATTACTTTATGTGGCTTGTGTTTGATGTTCAGCCTATTGTGTGGAGTGATGTACACCTTTTTTCCCCGTCATATCGACAATGATGATATCCCTTTGTCACTTAGTGACAAGCCAGAACTGTCTGACCACACAATGACATTGCCTGTTTCATAGTTATTATCTAAAATGTGCAGGACCCTAGATACCGTGGGTTCCATTGGCAGTGTTTACTGGGAAGGGGTTTCATGGCCTGTACAGACATCGCCTCCCTAAGAAAAATCGAAAAAAAATTTAAATCTCTCACCCGATTTTATATAAGTAATGAGGCATCTGTACACCAGCTAGGAATTCAGGGAAAAATCTTAACCTTGGTTTTATCAAATTTTTAGTAAATGCTGTAGTGTCAAATTAATCATTCATACGTTTTGTTATATTTGCAGGTTGAACATTGAAATGAACAAGAAGATTCGTAGGCTTTTACACAAAATAAGTTGTATTGAAATAATTAAGGAGCCATTAAAACAAAAGTACTGCAGTAATTTCTGTTCTGTTTTTTTAGGGGTGGTGGGGTGTATGGAGGAAGTCCTCAGTGCAAGCTGGTAAAATTTAAGTCTGGCATATACAGTATTTTCAAGGACGCACTAGAGTCGTTGATGCAGTGCTTATTAACTTGATTTTCTTAATGAATCTAGGTGCATTGGCCTGTACCCTGAGAAAACAGCAGACATTACGCTACGCCGCGACTGATTCCCCACCCCCCTTCCCACCCACCCACCCTCCATTCGGGGGTAAATACACTCTTTTCTTTTTGTAAGAATGTTGCTTTTCCGGCTGAATATTCTTATTTTTCTGCGGATTTTAGGCTGAAATATTCTTGTATTCTTTAATTATAGCTTTTGACATTTTCGTTTTAGAATGTATTGGGGTAAAATTGAAGTTAATGCACGTTTTTTTTTTTGTTTTTGTCAAGACACAAAATTGTCCTTTTCAAAATCTCAGCCGTGGGTTTATTCTTATCATATTGTTACAACTGTGCAAGTTTTCAGCCTCGATTTTCTTATAAAATATCTTGTTGTTAATATTAAAAAGAGTGTACTGTTGCTACATTTAAACTAGGCTCGATTACCAGCCGCTGTTCGGGAAATGAGCCCGCGCTGCATTCTGTTGGATTTAAACTTTTTGAGATACGTACTTCCTCGAATAATAGCCGGGGCGATTATTTCAAATATTGCTCACTGGAAGCTGTACCCTAAATATTTTGTTTTATTATCATATCAAATAAACTGGACATGGGCCTTTTATTAGTGTTCCAAATTTGGTTCCCTGATTGATTTTCAGAGCTTGAATCGTCACTGATCAGTTTTGCTGGATCAGATTCCACTTCAACTTGACAGGGAGGGGATAAAAGGAAGAGAAGATGGCGAGAGGGGTGGGGGGGGGGGGCGATTACTCGAGGAGGGCGTTTATTTTAAATATTTCCCCCAAAGAGGGACGATTAATCAAGGGACGGCTATTATTCGAAGAAATACGGTACTTTTACACAAATGTTGTGTCGGTTCTTTTTCCTCCGCCGCGGTGGATTATATGAGATCTAATATGTTTCACACTTCTCTCCGGTGACTAATCGGGAAACATAATTGTTTGCCGGTCGTTGATGGTTATAATATCGATAAATGAATTTAGGGTATTTCAAGTTTATTTTTTTGTGCTTTTCTCCTATCTGTTACCGAAGTCCCAAAAATTTGTTCTTTAAATATTCTTTGGGCTGTAAACGAGCTTGGCAACATTTCCTCCTTTTTAAAGTTTGATGGGAAGTGTCTTGTATTAATGGAGATTAACTAAGGTCGACAAATGAACGTGACGTAAGGGCATTAATTACACCGATACCTCCTTTTCGCATTGCTTTATATCGAGGCCACACTCCCCCAAAAGAATAATTTACAAATGTATTTTCTTGGATGCTAAAAGGTACTCATAAAAAAGAAAAATCTGGAAACATTTTATTTTCAATAGTCACGTAACAACGAGCGGATCGCGTCCGTCAACTGTAAATAATTGCCGTAGAGAGTGTCAAAGGGGTTAATTTTCCATAGAATCGTTATGCCTCACCATGGATAGTTAACAGAATATCGTACTTAAAACTTTCCAAAATGAAAACACAGATCGACCCTTTTCAGAGCAATATTTTTATATTTGTCCAGTATCGAAGCTAATAATTCATAGCAGATTTAAACTTTTCTTCTTCAGAATACGTGTTGTGCATGTAATGACGGCCCTTACAAAGATTAATCAATTAATTTTGTAGCCCACTTTTGTACACTTTAGCGAAGAGGGTGCGGCAGCATTACCGGAAGTAGCTTTTTTCTGCGTGGGAATAAACCAAAGATTTATTGCCGCGGTTGTTGTGAAGGCGTTAATGACAGGAAACTTGGGATTATTTTAAGAAACTTTAACGCAATTTACATTTTCACCGGACATGGACCAATATTTATCCCAATAAGCAGTGGGTGTTGTTTACTGGTACAAAACTATTTACGATTTGAAACTTATGACGGCACTTAGCATAAATACGAATGCCTACCTTCATACCGATAGCTACGATTGGTGAAAGAAGACCAGCGATCTGATGATAGTTGCGATTATGTATGAAGACAGTGAAGAATGGAAAATAGGCTACCTCGCCGTATCGCTTCGCCCAATGTCACACTGCAAGATCATGATTTTTTTTTTCAGCGACCATACGTGACCCCGTCAAGGGGATCCCATATGAGATGGACGGGGAAGGTTGTTGTCCCGCCGTTAGGGGTGTTAATTGCACATTTTGGTTTCATTTAGGGTGAAGAGGGCGAACAGCCAATAAAGGTATAGCGAAGGGCTTTGCCTAAATATCAAACTGTGTTGGATTATGGTCTCCTCTAGTGGTCTAATTCTATTCTATTCCGACAAGCATTATCAACCTCACCAACTTACCGGGACACTAAAGGTCGTTCTGCCATATCTGTATCAGGGGCCGACATACTTCACACTAGAATCCTGATTTTTGGAACCCTCTTTTCTTTAATCTTCCGGAGAATTCAATTCAAACCTGACTTTCTTTCCTTAGTAAATCGCTGTAAATTTACTGCTACCCCAGATTTTTCTAACCTCCCGATCATGTTAAACCAGTTCCTTCTTTTCCCACCGCGTGGTTAGAAAAATCCGGCGGGGTTTCATCGTATTCCATGATAAGGTAACATACGGTTCAAATCCCTTATACAAAGACTTTGTAGCCGCAACCAGTCTGTTTCTTGAAACAACTAATCGGACGTTTCTTCGAGTATCGTTTTCTGGTGGTCGAAGTTCCGTTATATGAGCCAACGTAAATATTGTTTAATATTGTTTTTGCGGTGAAACCATCCGCCTCAGGGTGAAATAGTCTTTAGCGGCCTGTTTGAAAAATAAGTGGATCACAAGTTTTTAACACAGCAGTCTGCGGTAGAAGTTTGCAACTTGTTTATCCCTCTCACAGCTCTCAATGTTTCGCAAAACTTAATCTAAGAATCACGGAATGACAGTGTGTTGCGATTTTTTAATTCATTCTGTTTAGGAAAAGCCCAAAGAAAATTATTTAATGAGTTGTTCCCTTTGAACTACAGGTTGTTCATCGCATTGCAGAACTGAAGGCCGGCATATTTTTCTGAACGTAAAAATCTAAGGTAGTTCGGCTGTGCGGTTTTTGGGCGTGAACGAGTTATACAATGTCATTAAAAAGGTACCCTGTAATAACTGGCTTTTAATATCAGTACCTCTGAATACAAATATAAATAAGCTGTGTTATCTTATATCTAATCTTGAACTTCTCATTTCCAACTGTTTTCAGTTTTCATCTGCTGCCGGATCTGAAATCAAAGGCAAAAATTATTATTTCGAGAATTAGAAATTTCAGTGTTTCCTAACTGTTGTGAGACATGGATGAAATCATCGAGTATTGTCGTGTTAGTCTTCAAATTTGTGTGCTAAGCCGGCTGCCGTCCATATTGATTGCTCTTGGTAACAACTATCATTAGAAGCCTTTAGAAGAAATGTTGCATCGTTAGTAATGGATCGGCAGCCTGGATTTTTCAAAAACACGAGAAGTGCTTGCACTGCTGCCAGTATTTCTCGCACGTCTCGAGTGTTCTTGAAATTTAACTGTACTTTTAACTCCAAAAAATGCAGAAAGAATAAGATATTTATTTCTATTAAGAAGTTTCCACTGACTTTCCGCAGGCCGCGTGCACAATATCTATCAAAAGCACGAGCGAGGAGTAGTGCATGTACTTTATTTTATGATAACGTAAAATAATGTTCTGACCAATCATAGCCCGTGTCGCCTATTGACTCTCGAGTCCCCGGATGAAATCTATAAGTGTGGCAATTTGTTCGGAAGTTATTATACTACGCTTTTTTTAATATAGGTGCAGTTTGTTTTAGATAGTCCAACACCACTAAGAAGTACTCCCGTCCTCTTTGGCTCTGGGTTTGTTATGCTATTGAACTACCCCCTTTAACCATTCATTCCTAATGGTAAAATTTAAGAATGAAATCTGAGTACCATTAAGCTACAATTCTGCCAAACTAAGACGTTTCATTTGAATGGCAACATAGTAGGATTTCCTCCATAGCTTTAGTAGTTAGAGCCAATGACAAATAATCCCAGTCACCATGACGTGGTCGAGAATTAATAGGGTTAATTCCTATTAGCATGGATTTTTAAATGGGCGATCATATCATTGTAGGATTTGCTCCGTTACCCCCTGTAGTGTTTGTGCGGTTTACCTTGGGTGTTTGTTTAAAGAGCCAGGTCACGGTGTCTTGGTTAACTGATTTCAGGAGTTTGTTGGCCGGTAGCCTGCGTAGCAAGCGTTTCCGTGCGATTTAGGAGCAAAGAACGAGGAACGAGAGTCAAAGACCGCGCGAAAAAAATTCATTTTTTGGCTCTTGTTTCATTTCTCGCGCGGCCAAAACCGAGAATCCCGTTCCTCGGTCTTTCTTTGCTCCGAAACCAAACGGAAACGCTTGTTACGCAGGCTAGTTGGCCGGGAGATACTTGGGTATATTCCCCCAAAGAGTAGGGTTGTTTGAGCCGTTTTGGTTTAAAACGGGACACTATAGTCTTCACCTATTATGGTCCTGAAACAAGGTATGGTTTTTAAGTGAACCACAAGAGTGTCCAGACGTGCCTGAGATAATGGTCAATAATGATCAATGATAAAAATGCTTGTAAAAGCCATATTAGTGTTGACTTCACTTTAATACAGTCAACTCTCCCCAAGACGGACACCTTTGGGACCGGCACAAAGTGTCCGTCTTAGAGAGATGTCCGTCTTATATAGAGTCAAATAAAGGGAATAAGCAAAGGCAGGGACCAACTCTAGGTGTCCGTTTTACAGAGGTGTCCGTCTTATAGAGGTGTCCGTTAAGAGAGAGTTGACTGTAGACGACGTGATAGGTTCCCAAACCGAGTACAACTTTTCAAAAGCCAGGTTTGAAAAAACGGGAATATGGATTTCAAAGGCCAGGTCTGAAAACTGGCCGGTGGAAAATGCGTGTTTTGGTCTGAAAAAGCGTCTGGAGTTGAATAGCCTGCGTAGCAGGCGCTTGGAAGTAGTGGGCAAAAGAGAGAACGGGCGCGCGCGAGGGGTGAGGTCTCCCCTCGCGTGTGTCCTTCTCGCGCGCCCGTTTTTTCTTTTGCCCACTACTTCCAAGCTGCAGGCTAGGAGTTGGAAAACCAGGAAGCACACCACCGCGAAAATTTCCCAAATAACCCCCCACAAGCTTATTTGGGAAATTTGAGAAGTTTGGGTGCAATCGTTGAAGTGTATTTAGCTTGAGAATCATCATTGTTCGTATTAAAATGATGTGGCCGTGATTTTGTCAATAATAAAAAAAACATTTGCTGTGTAAAGCTCGAGAGACTCATAGTTCCTTAGGCCGAAATTAACATTGCCTGACAACCAAGTAATTAAGATACTCGGCGTGACTTCGCAGTGATGTCTGTTCGAGCCTTTTTCTCAAATATAATGTTTTAGAGGTGCTCTGAATTGTCACCCAAGTTGAAGCTAGCTAGCGTGTCACAGCGTTCGCGGTAAAAAAGCGTCCAATGAAGGAGGCAACAAGAAACTGGTCAAAGTGAATAACTTCTGGGACACACAGACAACACTGTTAAGATAGTCTAGTTAAAATATATAAGTATGATATTTAAAGGAAATCTGTTTAATGGGTAGCACAGTTCTTTGAGTGTGTTAAAATTTAATTAAACATTTTCTACGAATGCTTCGCTATAACCGGTGTAAAGCTTGGTTAAATTCTGTCGAAAGGAGTTGCATAAACGGAGAGGAAAGAAAAATATTTCGTCCAACCACTTTTTTTTGGTGACAAAGTCAATACTCGGACCTGTGCCACAGCCTTCTAATCCGGAAACTCTCTTCCATTGATGTTCGGATAATCAGTTTATAAGTACTAAAATCAGTTTAATGAAAAGTCATGCGATTTGCCCGTTCTTGCTCGCGGATGTTGAAACACGGACAGTAGAAAACGCTTTTTAGGAGAAAAAATGGTTTAAAAATATTTTACGAGGCAATGTCGTTGTGTCGTATTTTGTGTCGATATCTTTTTGTCTCCAGTTACTCTTCCTCTCTTTATTTATTTCTTTTCAGAGAGTCTGAAGTCAACGTTATTAGATAGCCCATCTCGTTTTTTATTATCTTTGAAGAGAACATTTAGGCCAATTAAAACTTCCTATTTATTTGCTAAGTAGGTAGTTGAGTGATACAGAAAAGCAACTGGCCGAGTATGGCCCATTCGCTGAAGCTTAAAATGCTCTACTAAATCCTTAAGTTGGAACAAGCAAGTAACATGTAAACTGACTACTAGATATAAGTTGATCTCTCGTTGTATTTAAGGCTAAATAGCCACGGTTAAAATTAGGAATTTCTGCCGCAAATTTTAATAAATGGCATGAAGATTAACTAAGGTTGGGGTCAGTTCTCTAGAATGAGCGAGAGAACGCTTCGATCGCGATTATATTTAGCTCTTTTGACACGTGCTGAAACGACAAACTTCAATGATTAGTTGGATTTTTGTTGTTGTTGTTGAACCAGTCGACAAGTCATGAGCAGTTTTAGTTTTACACGCGTCTGTCTTTAATTCTGATAATTCCGGCTTCCTCTGATCTAATTTTGCTGTTTTATTTCATTTTAGTAATCACCACTTGAAAACGCTACGGGATTAGCTTCATCAATGAACTCCATTTTAAGTTAATTAAACTTAACTAAAGTGCTACATTTTTCGTGTACTCTGGGGCAATTTTTTTTTCTTTTTCTTGCATGATTTCCTCTTTTGTATGTAGATCCTCTCAATTTCGTCCAATCAAACAAAAACAGAGGTCAAAGTGCAACAGTTTAGTGGTTAAGAAATGCGAAGTATCGACGATATCGTCTGGGATGTCTTCGCGTTAATATTCCACACTGTCGAAAAATTGAAAAGCAGTAGTGTATGTAAGGCCAAAAATATTATTCCTATCAAAGCTGATTTTACAATGAAACAGTGTAGTAAATGAAAATCAGATGCTCTTCTCGGAGAAGATAGCAAAAGTGTTTGCGTGCTTAAACGTAGAGAGACCACAGCTAACTCGTGATGTTTTATCTTGAAATCTTCATTAAAGCAGATTTGTGGAAAGAAATTATTAACTAAACTATTAAAAGTAAACATTGATGAATAAATGACGGAATAATGTTGTGCCTGCTATATCAGGAAAAACGCACGTAAACAAAATACATGTTTTTTTACACGGTTTTTCTTAGTCCGTGTGCTTTCTTCAAGTGATTTTCAATTTTTCGACCTACCAAAGCAGGTCATACCCTCTCTTGCCTTCATGTAATTTAAACAAAGCCAAACGCATCGAGAATTTCTCAAAAAGTGTAAGAAAACTAACTAACCGGATGACATTAAAAAAGGTTAAACTGATCTATAGACACAGGCTGGTTTTTCAAACAGTTAATGACTTTTATTAGCTTACCACTTTTATCTCTAGCTAGGATGGCATTTCTTAACTATGCAAAGTGATCGTGTAATATATAATATATTTTTTGTCATGATGGCAAGAAATATACTAGTCAGCACTCACAGTAACTCGGTGCATTTTAAATTATCAGCAACGTTTTTAAGACAGTGTATCCGCATTGAAAGTATATGTTACGGTGTACATCACTTTTTTTGCACTCATAGCTCTCTATCGATTCTCCATTTCAGGGAGGATTCCCGCTGGCAATAATCCCAGTGCTGGGTCAGTAATCAGAACACCGAGAAGCTTCTAGAACGAATCCTAGGCTAGACAGGTAATTATCACATATTACTAATGGGTGTAACAAGTTCTTTGCGGAAAATTTCATTCTCCTGCCTACATTCCATCCATCAAGAAATAATCGTTATTTCCCCCGTTGAGAATTGACAGACAATTTTTAAAATTTTATCTTGTCAAAAACAAGGGCTAAACCGCCGACAAGAACTTAAAATAAAATTTTGGCACATCAGTTTTCATTTTGGAAAACAACAAAAGAAAAGCTAAAAACAGAAAGACGCCACAAAAAAGTTTACCGGTCACACCTGACTGGTGATAACATGGTATTTGGTGTCGAAATTCTCCACTCTAAAACTGACTGAAAAGCTGGTTTCTTGTTCGTTTGTTTTTTCATTCTCTCTTTGACCTCCTTTTCATTACATTGCTTGTACAGTCACCTTTCTCTAAAGCTGGCGTTTCTAGAACGTTGTACGCTCTAAAGGAAGTCGGTTGACAGCTAGAGAAAGGCACAGATAAACTCTAGGTTTTCTGTTTTTTGAGAAATGTACGAGAGTTGAATCGAGTTAGTGAAAACTTCTTTTATTTTTGAATCGAGAAGTTGTTGCCCCTTAAATTGTAAAATCAGGGATGTCAATTTAAGTAATATGTCTCTTCTAATAGTTCTACAAAACAAAACGATAAAAAGCCAGGAAGGCGTAAACAGTAAACGTATGTTGGACAAGCGCTAAGCTAACAGTAATTTAACAGTCCTGTTTTTGGAATTTGAGCAAGATAGCTCTATCTTAACTTGGGAGGAAGACTAATGAATCTGTTGACAAAAAGCTCAAACATGAACGGTTTAAATGACAAGAAATAATTTGTTTAGGTGATTCTGCTGATAACATTTCTTTTGAGTCGAGGAAATCTTTAATTGTGAAGTGTTCAGTGCCGGCCGAGACTGTTACGAAATCAAATTCCACTGAAAACGAGCGTTTGAGTTGGTATAGCCGACAGTCATTCCGGCTACTCAATGTTTTTTTTTTTTCATGTTTCTGAGTCAAGTTGCTGAATTTTCGTTCAAACCATTTCATGAGCAGGATTAAACCTATCACTCCCAGAGCCAATGATGAAATCTCGTAAGGTGGGTCCAACTTTTGCGTCTGTGGGTTAAAACCTATGGTGTGACCATTCAAATGAAACCTCTTCTGAAGTAATCCTCCGCCGTCTTATTTTTTTTTAGAATTTTACTAAACGAAATTTGCAATTTTTTTCGAATTTTGACTTTGGCCGCTTTTGGAGGTGAAAGGGTGAAAACAGGTTGTTTGAAAAGCATAAGGGAAAACTCTCTGTGTTTCTGCCCCAAATATCGAAACATCCTCTCTGACCCACACTGTAATGCCAAAGTAGATTTTTTCTAATCCCCTAGGGTTGCTAACAGCTTTTCAGAGGAAATATCACAATTTTTCCATCCAGTGGGACTGAACTAATCCCTAGTAGCAATTTACCGGAAGTACTCCCCTTTCCCGAAGTCCCTTACCGGAAATACGTAAAAACCCATGTACGTTTCACGGCAAAAGCTGGTAAAAGTGTAAAAATCATTTGACCCAGAATTTCCTTGTTTAGAAACAGCTTGTATACAAGTTTTTTTTATAGGAACTTAGAACAACTTTTCTTGGCGTCAGTCCAACAGCACTGGTCCTCTACAGCCCGATGTCGTTCGTTTTTATAGTATTTATTTATTTATTTATTTATTTATTTATCTGTGTATTTTATGAATAAAAATCAAGTCTCCAGTTATTGGCTTACCCATGACTGCAGTGATAGCTAGCCAAAAAGGATATTTTATTTTTAACTCGGGAGAAAAAGTTCATCCTAGTTCAACATTAACATGACCTCACGCGCCCGCAAATGTTTATTCACATTTTAAATAGCGGCTACAACAAGGCATTGCCGGTAATTGCCGATTGGTAATGTTCACAGAATTGCCTTTAGCATTCAAGCAGAGAGCAGATATTCGCTTTAGACCGCAGTATGCTGCCGGCCAGGACTTGCCGTGGCTATAACTGTTACGTCTCAGACTTGGTGTATAATGTTTCGGAAGTTGTATCATTAGCCTTTGTCATTAGCGGTGGCTCTCGCCGCTTGTTTGGAGAAAACACAGCAAGCGGTAATGTGACAATATTTCGCGCGCACCGGGATACTGAGATGTTGCATAAGTTTTTAGTATTCCCGTGATGTTAGCTTGTTATCTCTTATCGTTCTTGATTTATCTCTTGCAAAAAGCGCTATCTCTCGATCATATTTTTGCTGCTGGGAGTTCGAGATATTGTTATCAAGTTCAATTATTTCCCGTCTAGTCTTGGTATGACCTCGGGAAACAACATGAGGCATTTCTCAATTGTTTGGTTAAATGTGAAAGAAAGAAATGCAAATAAGCATCCGAAATGTCACTGTTGTCGCTCTGGATACCATTACATAAAAAACTTCAAACGTGACGCGCTGGTCCTTCGATAAGCCTCCCTTTCTATTTCGTGACCCCATTTTGTGTAAAATCTAAAAGTCCAAACGTCAAATTGACGCGTTGATAGAATAGGGAGGACACAAATTCAGACCAATCTCAAGCTGGGTAGACGGAGCTGACCTTTTAAGTAAACTCAAAGCGTATTGGCCGCCAGGCTCTTATCAACTTCCATCTAAGAAGGGTTAAATAAAGCTTTGGACTTAACTCTGACACTACTGATATAAATAATTATCCCGCTTGAAATGGTCACTTTTCATTTATCTCTTACGTTCTTACACTGTACTTCGTTACAATACTAACGCCTACGGCATTTGTTCCACCTCTGCTCGCCCTTCCTCTTATTTTCCTGCGATTTTTCCAACTCCTTTTTTTGAAATTTATTTATTTCCCTCACGCATATCCTTTTGTCCTGCGCGCTCCTACGCGAAAGCATTATCCCGAAGAAATTTCTTTCTCTGATGTACATCGCGGAGGGGCGCGCCTATTACACTTCTCTTGGCAACTGTAAATAAATCGGCTAAACTCGATACTGTTTTAACACCGATCGCGTCGTATCGTGCCAGCGAAAGTTCGACTCTCGCCAAATCTGTCAACAGAATGACGCTTCGGCGATAATAATAGTAAACACGCGCAAAACAGTTTGTAAACTTTCACGGATTTGTAGGTGCGATGCGCGCGGGAACTGTGATTGCACACTGTGAAAAGGAAATGATCTATTCTGTGAAAATTTTTTTCGTACGAGGTGTTACGTAAATAGCAAGTTCTTCCAACTTGGCGCGTGACTTTTGACCAATCACGGGGACTTAGTGAGTGGTTTTAACACACCTACATATCCCGGGTGTTTATGTCCTCAACATCCGCCCAATGATTGGTTGCGGTTTATGATTCCACCAATCACAACCCAAGGAAATATAATACACCGTCTCGCTCGATTGGCCAGGATATTATTATATCTGTGTTTTGAATAACCATACGCCAATTTACGAATTGGCACGAAGTTCGATTTTTCTGCTTGAGGAAATTTTCATCTTTAACTTGACGGTGTTTAGGACAGGACTGCTGGCTGTTACTCAGCAAGAATGACTGAACAAACTAAAGCTGAACTCGCTAAGAAAGAAACGGAACTCGCTCAACCCAAGAATATGGACTTAAGCAGCGCAATCGCCTCTGCGGTAAATCATGTTCTGGATGGATACGACTGGTCTTTAATTCCTCTGCCTGTGAGAGTCAACGGCGGGCACAAGCATAAACCGCATGTTAAAAGGCCGATGAACGCCTTTATGGTTTGGGCGCAAGCAGCCAGGAGAAAACTGGCCGATCAGTACCCACATCTTCACAACGCGGAATTGAGTAAGACACTTGGAAAACTTTGGAAACTGCTGAATGATGCCGAAAAGAAACCCTTTATCGAGGAGGCCGAACGACTGCGGTTGAAACATAAGAGAGAGCACCCCGATTATAAATATCAACCGAGACGAAAGAAGCAGAAAGGTAACGGTGGAGGGGAACAGCCAGAGGCAACTATCTCAGCTGACGATCTGTTAAAAGTGCTCAAAGGTGACGGGCAAATGGTGTCAAAATCCGGCTGCCAAGACAGCAACTGTGCGAGCCCCGAGAGCAGCTTAAGCGAAGAAGCAAGTAGCCCGGAATCTAACAGTTCGGCTACCTCTCCGCCGACAACCCCGACTGCAACAGTAAAGGTTGAAGGTGGATTGAAGTTCTCCGAGACAAGCGTCCCGGAACCAGAGATCAGCGCCCCTCAGTCCAGCTTTCCACTAAAGAAAACAGAACCAAATGGTGTTAGTGTTCCCACTACTAACAGTAGCAACGGGATCGATTTCCACGTCGAAATGAGCGACCTGACCACAGATCTAATGGTGGACACGACAGAGTTCGATCAATATTTGCATTCGTACACACAGCCCCTGCAGTTGCCTTCTCCTCCCAGCGTCACTTATACATCGCATGGTTACACACAAACACACGGTGGCGCCTCTAAGTTCGTGTCGAATAACCCTGAAAATAGCCCGATCTCATCCAGCTACACGGAGTTCATGGAACAGCTGCAGAAGCTACCTTCTTCTTACCCGCCGAATCAGGTCGCTCCCTCGGCTCTGCACCAAAGAAACCAACCAGAGAACGGCAGTTATCCCTTCTCATTTGGCGATTCGGTAGAGGTCAGTGGAAGCAGTGGTCGACCTATTCCTCTGATTCCTATTCCTTCCTCGAGCGCGCAGAGCTCTTCCTCGCGTCTTCACACGCTCGTTTGGAAGTAAGAGACTGCTAAGATAGGAGATAGGGTTCATGTTTGATAAATTAGCTCCTATGGAGCGTCAATTAATTTGATTTGTTGCTTTATGCAGCAATAGGAACGCTTACAAGAATCTTTCTCGAACTTTGTTTTGCTTCTAAATTTTAGGAGCTTTAAAGAGTTCAACACGCTATGGCAATGTCACGAGAGTTAACGTGTTCCCGGTCGCACGAGTTAAAATTTTACTCGGATTATTAGTGTAAAAATCACGAAGCAATTGACGCACATTTGCTTATAAATGTGATGATATTTTATTTCTCGCAGAATTGTTCTTTGTTTTGATGCATTACAATTTTTCTATTTTAATGTCGAGAAAAAAACCTGTTAACTGTTTTGTTTGAACGCACAGCTGACACGCTGTTAAGAAATCAGATCCTTACTGTCACTTTGCTTCAAGTCCTAATTTATCGCGTCCCTCCCTTTTAGATGAGTTCTTGCCAAAAGAAACTGATTTATCGTCTATCAATCTTCATGTAAATAATAAAAGAATAGAGATGATAGGTTCTGAAAACGTCCTTTAGCTAAAAAAAAAAGTAGAAAATGCATTCTTTTAGCTTTGCTTTGGCCTGGATTCCCGCATTTCATGCTTCTGCTTGTGGCGAAATAAATGCTGGTTTGTACAAGAAAATCAAAATGTGTGCTGTTGTACTCGATGGGTTTCCTTTTGCCCTTCAGTGCCGTTCGATCGCCTATGATTAGCTGGTCACGCTTGAGTAATGGGCCCTACAAGGGAAATGTGTGTTTAAGAATTTGCACAACAGTTCAATCGGCTCCTGGAACCAAACAAACAGTTAATGCAAGTTCAGTAGGTAGAAAGCTGGCTTAAAAGCGAGGAAGCAAAATAAAACTATCCTAGAAAGTTCTTAAGTAGGAGAACAGATGCCCTAAACAAGCTTCGATAAAACACAAATTGACTTTTTGTACGTGCTCAAATTTGCATTTATACAGCAGACTAGAGAATATTCATAACAAGGGTACAAATGGGAAACAATAAGCCAAAAATTTGCTCTTTCAAGTTCAGTTTGGAGCTTAGAATTTTACGATAATCTTCAATGAAAGAAAATCTTTCGAAGCGGATATGAAGCGAAGAGGTGACGGCTGACAAGGGCGTTAGTCCGGATGCTGGCTTTAAGACGCGGCGCTTTCTGCTTGCTTTGACAAAAGAAACGCGGGCCGTTTTATTTGCAAATGTTAACAATTGCCATGAGACGAATTCTTGGCGCGATCCTCGACAACGAAAGTTGCGCTGGGGTGATTTTTCCGCGAACGACTGCAACTTAAGACCCTTACAAGAGCGGTTTAAGGATTTTTTCAAAAGTGCAGTGAACCGGAAGCAAATGACGACCGCGGTCACAGATTTTGACATCAAAAATTATCGCGGTGGATCGTGTGTTTTGGCACTGGATTCACCGCGTAAAATAAAACCCTCAACTGCCTCCAAAATGTAGGCGCAATAGAAATATTGTAATTTGTGAAAAATAGCCAATACAGAATGTAAGAAGTGAATAGTACCTTTGCACATGCCGATACATAATATAATAACATTAACTATCCGGCAATTTATATTAAAATGGACTTGAGCTGTCTGTAAAATTCAATTCTCAGCTTCTGTCGCGGTTTTTTCGCTTTTGATGACCACGAAGTAAACCTTAGATAAATATTTATTGCTTTACAGTTGAGATGGGTTTGCCTTCGTTAAAATTGAAGCTGAACCCTATACGTTGTGTATATGTTGACTATATCGTGCTTGTTTTCCTAAAGCTGTGCAGAGATTTCAGTATCACGATTTTGCTGTCACGAATATGTTTCGCCCCCAAGAGTGTGTCAGACAATTCATGACAGCATCCGTTTGAGACACGATGTTTAGTGCATGCCTATTTCAACGATCTTCCTTCATAAATTTTTGATTGTGTGAGCCAAGAAAGCCTACACGAGGGGTCGATTTTTCTCTTCAAGAATTCCGTTCGCCTCGGGCTAAAAAGCGAGCTACTTAAAGATATTTCTATGTCTGACTTGGACTAAAGCTGATTTCACGGACAAATAGTTAAACGGTGTAAACCATTAAAGGTCTTTCAACCTTCAATTATTTTGGCTTTATGTGTGATATGTTTTGTTGGGTGTTTAAACGCACTTTCCGTCAACAGAAAGTCACTGCAGAACAGTTAACCCAAGTTTGCCTTACAGGAAATCAAAGTTGATTAATTAAAACACGGTTAAATGACAACAGATCTTCGCGATCCCGATCCCGAAGCTGAAGTCTTGTAAACATTGAAAAGTTTGTTTCTTTTTCTCCTAAATCCTTCGAGCAGTCCCCAGTCGGAGAATGTTGCCAACTGAGAAATAATAATTTATTTTTCATGGGAGCTGATATTGTCTGGGCAGTCCAAAACCTTACATGATTTTCTAACGGTCTACAGTCATGTCTGGAGTAAACGATATGCACAATTGTAATTATACCGACAACTTAAAATACTGGTCGTGAATAAAAAAAGACTGCAGCCCGTATCGCGAGACTACTTTTCGTGACTTTTTTAATGGCTTTGATATCTACCCCGGTGGGTTAACAGAGCTATAAAATTTAATACTGTCTAGTGCTCCTATGAATTTTGAAATGTAAGAACATGTGTCACAGATGCGAAGCGTCGTTCTCATTTTCTTCATTATATTGTCTAGAATGTGCACTATATTTGGAAGAAATTTTGAAATCAAACAGTACCGCAGAAAAGCACTTAACTAAAATTACAGCGTATCTAATAGATAAAATATAGGCGAACAGATCTTATAAGTAAATTTCGTTCGTATTACTTCTTTGCGCTGGAGGAGTGGAGAAATAAAATCGTAAAGTGTTTCTTCAGCTCACACTGCCATCATTTTGCTTAAAAATGCTTTATTAGTTTTGGTCGTTTTATCGCTTTTTCTTCTTGTGAGGTCTAAGGCGATACTCCTTCAACAAAATTATTTTTCTGTTCACTACTGGACGAAACCGTTCAAACGCAAGGGAGGTTAATTAAGTGAATGTGTGTTTAATATCGGTCAAGATAAGGTCTTCCTTCCTTTTGCAGCAATCGTGTGAAAATTTCAATTTAGTGTGCTAACTGATCTACCTTTCAGATTCCCTCTAGACGAGCTTCTAAATTACATTTTTACTCTGCAAGAGCTGATAATATTATGAGACTAATTATCAACGCCCTTTGAATCCTATCTCTGGGATCAAAAGTGGCGAGTACCCCCCGGATCAGTGCGGCGACCCCCTTCACCCATTTTGGCCCTAAAGTGAGTATAGGGTTTACCAAGTACAAAAATAAGGAAACATAAATACCACAAAAATCTGGGCAGGTCAGGATGTTTTGTTTATGCATTGGCAAAGCTTACACTGCGTTCAGAGACGATCGATGCCGGCCGGTAGCTCGTAGTTTTGAGTCTTTTAAACACAGCCCGTGGTAGCTAATGGTGTAACCTCTAAAGCAGGGCTTTCTCATGGTACTTACATTCGATCGTTATTTAATTTTCCAGTGATTTAGGGTTGTCTTGGATGTGGGCTCTCTTGAACTACAGTGAGGTTATTAGAGAAAAACTTTTTAAAGGAAATCTGTTCCAAAATATAAAGTATGGAAACGCAACAAGATAACAGATTATTCATTGTAACACTTTAACTGTAACTTGACAGTCACAAAAGCAATACAAGAGCTCAAAGTTATTTTTGAAATGGTCAACATCGCTAATTGACTACCATGTGATACTACGGGAGCCTCACGAATTAAAATGTTTCTCTTGTAACATAATACACTTCAGTTTTCATTCGTCACAACGGTCATATATGTAATACTTGCGCTGTTAATACGTGTTGGTTACAGCTGAATTTTTCACTATTTTAAGAAATTTTGCAACTCAGAATTTATTGTTGGTTTTTACATGACGTTACTAAAATTCAACCTACAAAACTATCGATCCTACCGAGATTTTACTTTCACGATGTATTAGAGCAGCTAAAACTAATTTTCATACAAATTTTCGCTTCAAAAGGGTTCTTGGTTTTGTGATAGAGTACGCTTGAATTTCTAAGCTTTTGCGTGACGCGGCATCAGTACATGACGGCCAAGAGAGTTGTCATGCAGATTAAAAAAATAACTTATTTCAAGGAATTTTGCTATCTAAACAGTTCATGTATTATAAAACGTATTACTTTAATGTCTATGAGTTCCTCGAAGAATGAATTCACGCTTTTGTAGCAAAACTCGGTATCAGATGTTTCTGTTGGTTTCCGTCCGCCATGTTGGAGCCCATCCAGGTGGGCACCAGCATGGCGTCTCCATACAAGTCTCTATAAATTTGAGTAAAACCTTTCTTCGGATATCTCGTATACGAAATATTCCTCTGACCTGAATCTTGGCGAGGGTCTTTGCATATTTACCTCCTTTCATTTCCCAGATTCTGGACTTTATCTACGGGGTTTTGCTTTTTATTTTTATCTATTTTGAATGGCGTTACACTGAAAACTAGCAATCCGTAAAACGAAGAAGACATTGAAAGGATTACATCAGCTATTGTTTTCTTAAACCACAGCCCCGCCTCTCTCCCCGCCTTCTTGATCTTTCGATGATCTTCTCCGTGGCTTATAAACGCAGTAAAGTTTCCCGAAAAGTAATTTTTTTTTGTACTGGTGAAATTGAGCTGACGAGCAAATATCAAGATGGAGAATGGTGTCAGAAAAGGTAGCAGGCGAACTTGAGCAACTTAACTGACATGATGGACACACTATCAAACCGCACAATGCGGAATTCTCCTGTTCAGAATTCAATGAAAAGTAAAAGGACTACTGCAGAGAGCACTCCAAGTTAAAGTGCGGGATAAGAACAGATTGTGAAAGAGTTCTTAGGCTTTCCTTTGGAAAAATCTAGACTATAATACGTGTGATTCTTTGAGGTAGCTGATCTCAATGCTAGAAATTTCTCTAGATTATATCATTATGTACTCCGCTCAGTGACCCTTGAACTCTGCGGGTGAAATCCTATCAAGTGGACTTTGATCATAAAGCGCAAGCAAACCCGCAAACTACTATAAAAGCGATAGAGTTTCCAAGTACTAGCCACGTATGTTGACAGTTTTTTTTTATCGTCGATTAGTTTCTACCGTTAGTCTAAAACTACCTCTTTAATTTTTATTTTGTTGTGCGTTGACAATTCTTCTAACACTTCATGCCTTATTATTTTCCTGTGGTGCCCCCCCGCCCCGCACCCCCTACCAAAAAAAATGAGGGTGGCAAGTCCCTGAAGGGGACAAAAGTGTGTGCAAATGTCCTTGCGAGTTAACGGGGGCCAAAAAGAATTTAATCTCCTGAAAGAGGTAGTTTATTTCTGTGCGCAATCTACTACTGTTTCGTGACACTTTAGACTAGGGTTATAGGCTGCTGTTTAGACTTTTTGAAATAAAATGACGACAAGTTGCCTTTCTCTTTTAAAAAATTACCTTGGCGCCGGGGGAAATACAATCAAGGGGATCCCTCGGAGACTCGGGGATCCCTCGGAAACTGAAGTCGTTCCCCACCTGAGAAGGGTGCAAGGGCGGCACCGATTGAAATAATTGCGGCCTGAAACTGATCAAATTCACCGTTAAAGTGTTAACATTCAAATCCAAATTGGTTTCCTGTAATGCTGCCTATTGTATATTATTCTATAGTTTAAAAGAGGGAAATGTAATCGTTCAAGCTTGGTTCATACAGATGATAACAATAAAGCTGTTCACTGCCACTATGCTCTCGGATCAGGTTTTGATCAGTTTTGAACTTGGGAGTCGAGTTAAGCATAGGATAAAAACCAGACGCAAAGCGGCATTCCAGAAACCACTGACTTACTAAACACTAAAGACAGGTATTTCCTGAAACTCTCTAATAATTTGATAGAGCAATGCGACTTTAGAGGATTTGCAGATCAACTGTGCATATTTTGGATTCTTGTACCACTCCTCGGCCTCTACCACTAAGTTTATCGCGAGAGGTCAGTATTATAGCTATTTGAAGAATCTAAGATACATCTTTACTCTATAGCGCCACCGGAGTTCCGATTTTTGCACACAGCTAATTCCCAAAGAGACTCTTCAATACCGATTTGCACTGTTATTCACCTGTTGTTTGTGTGGATGGAACTCCTGCGGCGTTTCAGTTGTGCGTGGATACGCGCTACATCTCTTCTAACATTCTACAAACTTTAGCTCTTTGGCACTCCTTATAGGCGGTTGAATTTTGCCTGGTATCAGTCCAATCAATAGCGTCTGAAGGGGTATGTTTGCTATTTTGGCATTTGAGAAATCTGAGCTAACTGTACTATAGCTTTGAAAAACACGTGTATAGATTTACATAAACAAGTTAAAAACAGTATGTTTTTAGTCTATATTTGATGCGGATGTTTTTATATTATTTAGAATCTTTTATTTATTTGTTTACCTGTATATTTATGATTTATTTATTATTTTTGGTATAAAAAGGGCCTGAGTTAAAACGATTAGGTCTGAGAACCCTTATCAACATTCTGCTCTGAAAACGGGAAGAAATTTCGCCGACCTAACCCCACCACCAGCCAATCTTTCAAGGAGATTTTGAACATCAGCGATCTGTTTTTCCTCACCTTGTTTAGCGGTTTGTGTCTTACGTACTTAAATGACTACCATTGCACTGGAATATTTTCTATCAAATGTCGAAAGTGTGCTCTTTTCATTGGACGAGAAATCTCGCCTCATTTTTTGAACCAGTCAGAATTTGCTCCAACGATCTATCTATTATCGTGGCTTGCTCGAAGGTACACAGCGGTCAAACGCTTGAGACATATCGCGCCGACAAGTCTGCACTTTAATTTACCAACGAATATCATTTAGAAGTGCTTACTTATCGGTAATGAGGCAAACTTTTAAGAGTGAAGATTGCAACGATAATAACTTTGAAGTACTTTGGTCAGCTTTGCAAATTTCTCTCTGTCCGACCGCTTTCAAGTGCGCAGTTGCTCTTTCCCGCGCTTGGTAGCCGCCCGCGCGCTGTTTGTACCTGTGGTGTGTTGCCATTGAGATGTTTTTAGCGTGACGATTGGGCAGAGCAATTTCTTCAGTTTTGTTTTTAGAGGCTAAACTTTAACCTCTATAATAAGAAGACTGTTCTGTTTTCCTGTTTGTCTTTTGATACCTCTTCAATCTTCCCTTTCACTCACACAAGTGGCCTAAAGTAAAAATTCAACAAAATTTCCAAATTTCGTGTCATAAAATGCTGAAAAAGAAATAGTACCATGTGAAAGTACTGCTGAAGAGGTTTCATTTGAATGCTCATACCATAGGATTTCATCCACAGTCTCAAAAGTTAGAACAGCATACTAAATAAACAATATAATGTGAAAGTACTGCTGACGAGGTTTCATTTGAATGGTCACACCATAGGATTTCATCCACAGTCTCAAAAGGTAGAACAGCATACTAAATAAATAATATAATGTGAAAGTACTGCTGACGAGGTTTCATTTGAATGGTCACACCATAGAATTTCATCCACAGACTCAAAAGGTAGAACAGCATACTAAATAAATAGTTTTGTGTGAAAGTACTGCTGAAGAGGTTTCATTTGAATGGTCACACCATAGGATTTCATCAACAGATTCAAAAGTTAGAACCACCTTACGAGACTCTATCAGTCACTCAGGGAGATTGGCGTTGAAAACTAGCCTGTGTACAGCCGCCCCCCTCCCCTCAGGCTACACAGGCTATCGAGAACGAGTGCTCCGCAGCTAGACTCAGTGTGTGGGCCCGAAATAAAGAAAAACGGTGTGATGGATGGAGAGAAATCTGTGTTCTATGTCATAGGCATGGTTATACGCGGCTTCTGTTTATATCAAAAAGTTTTAGTGCACGACTAGAAATATGATAAATGTTTGGAGTTTTGGATATCAATATGAACAAAAGGATGACCAGTGTTAGAAACGATAAAGAAGAAGTAATGTACGTACATAAATACATATTTTATTGACCCGTCCCCACAGGGCTTTTCAGAATCAATGTAAGACAATGCTGAGGAAAAGATAATCAAGAAAAAAATTTATCGTAGATTCTTCAACATGTTCAAAGTAATCTACCAAAAGGTAAAAAAAAATAAGTGTTATGATTAATTTGATTCTCACATTCTTTTTCAATTGCAGAACTTGTGCAGAACTTTCCAGGAGCAAACTTTTGTCTAAGTGTACTTAGATCATAAAACAGAAGACATGGCAATCGCATGACGTTGGTGGTAGATATCATTTTTTTGTTAAAAAAATAAACACATAAACAAACGATTTACCGTAAATCCTCTATTGAACCCTCCGGGGTAGGGCTTATTTATTTCAACCAATTTTGAGGAGGGGCTTAATAGAGAAGGGGTGCTTTCAGTTTAGCGAAGATGATGATTTAGTGGAAAAGCCAAGGCACAGTTACACGAAGTTAGAGGTCATGCAGCCAAAGATCAAAATTAAATCTGAACTTCCATCACGTGAATAAACCATAGCAGAGCAGTACGCATGAAGTGTTACAGTTGTAATTAATTAATAAACTCTATTATTTAAGAATAAGGAGGAGGGGAGGGGGGCTTAATAACTTTCTTTCCCCAAAAACGTTGGGCGAATTTGAGGGGGTGGTGGGGGGGGGGGGGGGGGGGGTAGAAAGTAAGATAGAGACAGAGAAAAATCATATTGAATAGTGAAATAAAGGGAAATATAACTAAAGGAGCAAGAAGTGAAGAGTAGTGTGTAAAGATAAATTAAAAAAAATAGAATTTTTAGAATAAAGAGGGGGGGGGGGGGGGGGGGTCATTTTTTTCTGGTGAGCGGCGGTGGGGGGGGGGGGGGGGGGGGGGGGGGGGGGGGGGGGGGGGGGGGGAGGGCACTTAACAGAAGATTTACGGTATGCAATGTATTAGACAATTAGTCTGTCCTAAACATGTCAACTCCATGTCAGTTCAGGAAATCCCCAATAGGTTTTTCAGGATCCGGTATTTCCCTTATTTGAAGCTCAGGATTCGAGATTTTAAAGCAAAATCGGGCAAGATTCGGGATTGAAGGTACGCGCGCGAGTTAGAATGCCCGAAATAACCCTCGGGATTTACGGGATTACACGACCTTTTGGGTCGGGATAATGGGATTGAAGAACCCTATTGGAGACCGTCAGTTCAGTTCATTTGAAATTTACCCGCCGTGATTGCAGGGCTAGGTTTTATGACTACCTTACAGTACCTGCTTTGTTTTATAAAAAAAATCTTTGTTATATCAACCGTTACTTAAAAAAGGTAATGTGGACTTTTTATGAAACCTCATTTAATCTAGGCCATAGTTGACTTAATTAAGGTTTGCAAATCCTTGATCATTATTAAGGATAAATTTTGATATGTTTTTTTTTTACTTTGAAGAGGAACATTAGAGCAAAATGACTTCCAAAACAGTGACATCCACTCATTACGTGGTTTGATTGTAGTGCATAAATTCTTATCTCGCGTGACTGCATGGTCACGAGATAGCTGGGATTTCTTTTACAAATACTTAGTAGATACTTTTTCATCAAAAAAGAGTGTGTCCTACGTTTCTCATTATAAACATTTAGTAGTGTCTTTTCATGCAGTTGATCCTTCCTTCTACTGGTAGTTGACAATGTTGTAGTATATTCATCTTAAAAGTGAAACAGCCTTAGCCGAATTGTTTAAAACAACTATTCCCAGTTCCTTCCGAAATAGTTACAGAATTTTAAATTGCTATTGAGCTGATGTCAAAACACAGAAAAAGTAAAAGAAAACCAGTCGATCCTCTCCTGACACTGCCAAACGCAACTACCTTACGAATATGTCTCTACTGTGTTGCACGTCACAGCTGTCATTTGCAGCTGAAACCGGTGAACTAACTAGCAACTAACTAACTAAAACAATAATGGCGGCACACAGCTTGATGGGCTCCTGCGGCACACCAAGTTTGAAAAAGAGGAAAACGCAACAGCCATGGAGAATTTGTTCAGTTTGTGATTGGCTAAGTTCCCTAAGTTCCCGGCTTCTTAAAACCTTAATGACAGTATCAGTGAAATTATAAAATAACAGATAAACCATGTAAACTGTCTGTAAATAAATTCTATTCATGTATAGTTTAGCGGAAGGGGGAGCTGTGAGGGGTCGCAGCCTCCCCTTTCTGTCTGAAATGTTGTTTGAACGTCTGTCTTTAAGGGCCTTAATTTCTGGATGCAAGTGCTCTTAAAGTACAGTAATTCATTAGTAGTATGTTGAAAACTGGCACACACTATAAGCCTTGACTCCTCTTTCTGAAATCTTCTGGGTCAACGCTCCTCCCTTCTAGGGGAGGAGTAGGGGAGGAGCGTTGCGTGACGAGACGACCCCCGCTTTCATTGGTTCTATTGAAAGATTTTCAACTTTGTATTTTGAAACTTTTGTAATGAGACATTCGACGAAGATACATTAAAAGGGAATCTTTTTTTCCGCTATTTAACTCGTCTGTGTTACAGTTGTGGCGGGGTTCTCTTTTCTTTGTGTTGTTTAATAAATGGAAAGAAAAGAAAAATAGAAGGCTTTCGTTAGCCATTTGCAGTTGTCTGTAGGAACTTTCATAGTATCAAGTAATAAAACTTACTAAATCTAAAACCTCTTCTGGCAAAAGGCTTTCGTTAGTCAGTTGCAGTTGTCTCTAGAAACTTTCACGTCAACTAAGAAAAGATTGAACGAACTAAATATGAAACTTCTCTTCTAGACATTTTCTCTGGAAATTTCCCCTTTGATAAATGATTTGATGCAAGACAATCTATATCCTGAAGTTTCGGTAAATTCCGTTCGCTCTGAAAGCTAATCAGTATAAAATTTTGCGCCGACTCATACCACAATTTCTATTTTACTATGAATTTTTCGTCTTTTAAAATGCTGTTCCGTGCCCGGAAGCATACTTGGACCAGCGTGAAAAGTGCCTCAAAGGTCGGAAGTGCCTATCTATCGGAGAGAGACCATTTACAATTGCGATGACTCATGTTAAGGGTATAAGTTATACCCGGCATACCGCGGTAAGGTTTTGGTGTTTTAAGGTGTTTTAAAAAGTTAACTCCATGATAAAAACCTTGAAGTAACTATTTGATTTAGTCACTAAAGGTTGCTGATTGTGTCTTTTCTCTGGTGCTGTTTATCGAACTTATTACAATTTAATATTTTCCAAAATCCTTTAATAAAACGCTTTTTGCCAGCAAGACTGTCAAAGTTTTTCTGAGAGGTTTTCAGAGATGCTGTGGCAATATTGTAACAAGTGTTTTGATCTTCGCTTGTCAATTCGCTTGTCAATTATTTATTTTCCAAGAACTGTTTCAAATATAAGCGTTCGTGTTTTGAAACTGCAGATAAAGAGAGTAAGGCCTTGTTTCTTGCTTAAGCACAAGATCAATTTGCAGAAGACTTGTTACTTCGAGTTCTAAATTCTTAGGGTTGATTCGTGCCTTAAAAAAGCAAACTTTTGCAAACGAAGATCGCTCTAAGAATGACCACGCGTTTCAAAACGGAAGTGTCGTACAATGCCTTCTACCTATCTGAATTTTTTCTTCCCTCTAGTTTCCACTAAAAAAGATACAAATTTTATTTTCCCGGAAACTTGATAAAAAACGTAGTCATATTTTTCACCTTATCGACGTGAGCTTTGTCTAGAAAATATTTATTGACCTATCACGTGGTCAAAAAAAACTTGGCGACAAACAAGACTGACGAGGAAACAAGACGTTTTTGTTGTGATCTTTTTAAAGAACTTAAAACAAAAGAGCAATATCACATCAGTTTCATATGCCTGTACCAAGCTAAAATTGACTTCCTAAGACATGAATTTCGTGCAAGCCTGAATAAAAAACATATCGAAGTTACTTTAACTTAACTGCGCACAATCGTAAAAATAACACTGCCTTCAGTGAAATCTAAACTAATAACATTAATGACCGTAAAGTAATATAGAGTAATTTGTAATTCTGTTGTCTATGAATTGCTAAACTAGTCGATAGCCACGTTTGGCTGAAAACCATAGTTTAAACAGAGCAATGACCTAAGATAATGGGGTGAAAAGAGTTACTTTACGTTCGTACCTCGTGTTCTGTTTTAGTAGAGTTCCGCTTGCTATCCGTTACGAAGTTCCTGCGACTTGTAGTACGCAATGCAATGAAAACAATCATGACCCAGTTGTCTAGTTAGAACACAGGCCTTTCAAAGCCAGTCTAACAACAAACAGTTCCATCACCATTCGCAAAAGGATCAACTTGAGTTCGTATATGTTGGAGATTAATAAGTTCCTTCATCGGAACTTTTTAGCGAGAAGGACTACATCTTGCTGCTGACAAACTACTGTATTCCTCCCACAACGGAAATTATCCCCTAAAAACAAACGTGGATTGGCCATTTATTGTGCCATAATAACATCACTGGCATAACTTAAATACTTTACCATAAAGCGGCTATTGTTCGTATACTAACTTTATTGTTCTCTGAGAAGCCAATGTTGCTATGGAAATTACATTCCGAAACGTACATCCCACGCAGTCTCCTTTTCAGAGGTGCCATATTTGGAAAAATCTTGACAGTCTTTTCAATTTCCTATCCAGGCCAGAATGATTTCTTTTTCAAGTTTTCATAGTTAAACATTAACTGAATAAAATATTCTTAGTCTCTGGCCGACTGGTAGATCTCCAATACTTTTCTGAAGTTGATCTGCGTTGAGCTAATAGTTTGATCACTACAGACTCTAATACAGCAAGAAATATTACCAAACATATTTGGAATATTTTATTTATAACTTTACTCAAATATATTTTTGAACAAATCTTCGCCATTTTGCATCCAGACGCCTTTCTACCAATGTACTTGAAAATATAATATTGGTCAGTCTTTTCATTAGTTGTTTGGAAAAGTTGGTTGTTTCTGAAACTGGGCTTTTCACAACCGTAGTCCGACGGTATAAACAGAAGTGGACTTTGTTACTATTGTTAACCGAGGAATGCTGCAAAATGCCAAACAATAGAACTGAGTTCTCAGGCTGAGGTTCTGAAGTCTGTTGGCAAAATATCATGGACGAAATAACCGCATCCTCGGCTTAAAAAGGTTAGACGTCGCGCGTACTTGATGCAGCTTGTTTTAAGCATTACATTTAAAGAACAGAAAACGTCTCACTCCCAGAGATAGGTCACAGCGAAGTCGATTCAATGCGTGTAATTTGTGTTACGAGTACCGCAAAGTATTGGTTTCCCCAAAGTACGACTGTGTAATAAAGGGGTAAGAGGTTTTTGATAAATGAATAACGACTAAGAGACCCTGATGAACGAACGATTGCAATTGTTGTTAACTCTTCATATTTTATGTACTCGTTACTTTCTAGTTATTTTGTTATACCTGAAGTTGTTCTTCCTGGCAGTACTAATGCTCTTTATGCAGATGACTGCAAATGTTCCAGAATCATTGACACGGTTGGTGATCTTGATTTGTTTCAACAAGATCTGGATAATCTACATTAGTGGAGTGTTCGGAATTTCATGAGCTTTAATGTCAAGAAATGCAAAATAATGAAAATTACTATTTTTTCCTGGATATTTCTGGACTGGAAGAGGTCGAAGAGTTTAAAGACTTAAGGATTTTTACTAATCAACACTTACCATGGAACCCACACATTGATTATGTTGTATCCAAGGCCAACAGAGTGCTTGGCTTAATTAAAAGAACTTGTAGACGTCTGGATGACCCTACGACGTTGCGTACTCCTTATATTACTGCTCTCTGGTTCGCTCGAACCTGGAATACTGTTCAGTGGCATGGTCCCCGTATACAAAAAGAAATATTGATATACTGAAAAGGGTACAGAGAAGAGCAACAAGATGATCCCTATCACATTCGTTTGAAGAGGTTAAACCTCATGTCATTGCACAAGAGAAGATTACTGACTGATGTGACATTCTCATATAAAGTACGTAACGGCAACATTAATATTGACGTCAGCAAAATTATAGATTTCCACTCAGAGGCTGACCGCTTTTCACTGACTAAGGTCTAAGGACTTTTTAACTTTAAAGAATAAATTTGCCAGAACTAATGTCCTGAAGTATAGTTTTTTCCATCGAATAACTGACATATGGAATCAGCTACCTTTAGATATTCGTTGCTCTGATAATGTAATTACTTTCAAGTCTGGAGTTAAGAAATTTCTTAGTGATTTTTAAATTGAGTCATATCTTAATTTATTCTTCGAATTTATTATTTTTATGCTCTATATTAGTTAAACAGTACTAATGTCTTGAGGTATAGTTTTCCCCATCAAATAACTGACATGTGGAATCAACTACCTTTAGATATGCGTTGCTCTGATAATTTAAATATTTTCAAGTCCAGAGTTAAGAAATTCCTTAGTGACTTTAAATTTGTTTTTTTTTTTTATTAAGTATCTACATTAGTTCATAGGTGATCTGTTTTTATATGGGGTTTAGGACTCCTTTACAAATTATCCTTTGCCTTTGACCAGAGATTGTGATAAATATAAATATAAGTATAATATAAATATTTTAACAACGAGAGAATACCTTCTTTTGCAGACACGTATAAGCGCGGGAAATTTGATATTCCATTGTCACAACCGCGAGTAAGACCAAAAACATACTAATTTTCATATAAAAAATTCCAACCAATTTTTGCACACCCTTAAACCCTAGTACGGAAATTTTGTTTACGCATGCGCTAATTAACCACCTGTGGCAATTTTTTTAAATCTGAGTCAGGTTGTGGCGTTATAGAACAGATATGCAACTGCTTCCAAATAGGCTATTTCCGCCAGTTTTGTTTTGTTTGTTTGTCTTTTTTTTTTTAAAGTGCTCTTTGTCTATTCTACAAAAAGGGTTTCTCCTACCACTGCGCACTGAGTAGACTATTATTTATTTCAGTATTTTTTTTTATTTCTGCAGAATGCTGTGCTGTCTTCACTGTCACTTCCGATGTGACCCATTGTGTAGAAGAGAAACTAGCAGTTGTAAGCACTGCCCAGGCATGTCCCCATTAGAATTCGCCGAAATTATCGTTCTTAGCTAGCTGATCAGCTCGTTATCGCTTGCATTCAGGTTTATGATAAAAAAAACCTAAATGGTTTACTCATAAAGAAACGATGATTGCATTTTACCGCGATTTAATAGACGAGTTTATTATTCGAAATGTTTCTATGGAGTAAGAGCGCTTTTACTGCAGTCTCTTTAAAATTAAGATTATTGCACCGAATTTTCGAAGTGGAAATACTTAGGCTTTCAATCTACAACGTTTAGTACATCTTTTTCTAAAATGGTCACAATTAATTGGCTCTTATTGTCTCGGTTACATCCGCAGATTTCAAAAGCACTTTTACCTTCAAACGACGACACATCAAGGGCCAAAGCTATATTTCCCACCATTTTGAAACAATTTATCTATTCTTATTGTAGCTAGTAACTTTAGATAAATCATATTTGGTTTCTAGACTAAAGCTATAGGCGTGACAGGAGTTCTCGAGTCCTCTCGATATAACGTTGTAGCGCGTATGTCGACCAGTTACCTAAAAACGCAAAGGCGAACGCGAAAACAGACGCAGCCTGAAGCCGCCCATATTCTCTTCTGGCTAGTCATGGCACTTCATCAAGCTTACAAATGCAAGTTTTAGTTAGAGCCCTGCTGAGCCTAGTGCTGAACCCCTCTGCGGATACCTGCGGACGTCGCTTGTTTTCCATCAAATCATCGGGTTTTTTTTTTTTTTTCAAAGAAATCGTCGCATATCAAGATTAGTTTTCCATGGTAAAGCTACTAGCGAGGGCGAACAACCACGACGACGAAAACAAAAGCAGCAGGTTCAACAACCAAAACTCTGAGCATACAGGACTCATTTTGGCAGATTTCTTTGCCATCATCGGAAGACTAACTTTGTCAAACTTGATCGGAATTACAATGCGATCGTCACTTTAATCTTTAAGGTACGGTCAAACCCCGCTTTGGCGACACCCGCTTAACGCTTTAAGTCCCAATATCCACATATGAATTCTCCAAACTGATCTCTATACATTTCCTTAAAGAATGTGTTAAGAGAATTTGATAAAAGATCAAGGCCTTTTCTCTTAGGTGATCAATTTATTAATTCTCACAACCTAATCTCTTGACAATCTTAGGATATGGTTAGGAGAAAATTGATGTCGGTCACCATTCGGACTGAAAGGGTCAATACGGACACCCCGTTATTACGGACAGTTTGGTTTGTCCCTGGGGGAAAGAAAGGCCTTACATTTTCTCTAAAGCCACCCGCTTTAAAATACGGACACTTTCTATGGCCCCCTCAATGTCCGTATCCTTGAACGGGGTTTGACTGTAATCGTTTCATTGGCATCGTTCAGTCCGAATTGTACTTCGTCAAAAATACCCAAAGAGATTCTCAAAGTTTATGCCCGTTTTTGTCGTGCGCATGTGTTTGTGTTTAGTGCCTTTTACTCGGATAGGAAAAAAAAAAGAAGATGTAAGAAACTGCGTTCACCTCATTTCATCTTATCCTCTGATGAAAGGTATAAGGCCAGGTATGATACCCTCTTCATATGAAACAGGCTCGGATGAGACAAAAAAAAATCGCAAGTGTAAGGCAAAACTACTCGATCTTCTTTGTGGCTCGTTTATTGGTACGTTACTGTGTTGGTGTTGTTTTTTGTTTTGTTTTGTTTTTCTCATTTATGTTTTTCTTAGCCACTGTTGTCAATCTAATTGCACTTAAGGAGCCCAGCAAAGCTTTGATTACAAGGACACGACCTTTTCAGAAAGAAAAATGAAACGATCTCTTACCCTTTTGCTTAATTCGTTATCAGAAATCTATCTTAATATCTTAATGTTGTAATGCTTTCGTTTTAATGGTTCACTCTCTTTTTTACACCGCAGATCTCGAAGACAAGAAAAGGTGAATATGAGTGACTTTAGCGCTGACGGGATTAAGTAATCGGTTAGCGTCTTGTTTTGAAATGTTCTGTCCGCAGTGTTTCGGTATTTTATCAAGAAAGTGAGGAAAAAATTGGCCATTTAATTTGACAAGGTCTATTCGTGTTTGCGTCTCTTTAAAATGCTCTCTTTGTTGCCGAATTGTTAGCTCGGATTTTTTTCGGAACTAAGTATTCGTCAGCAGCGGCATATTACTTGGTGTGCGATTCGATTCAAGTAGCTAAAGTAGCTGATTCATCCTCCGTTAAATGGCACAAATGAACCCTTTAACATTCATTCCAGCCGTGAATAAAGCTTTCCAAAGTATGAAGAAAAGATTACTGAATTTTTGAAACAATGACGATCTTTCGCAAGCAGATTTCATTTCGAGATCGATTTACAATGACTCATTCTCCAAACAATACTCCACTGTACTGTCGGGGTGTAAGTTTTGAAGTAAAACGTCGTTTATACTAAAAATCTTTTTACAAAAGGCTTTCTTAACCATGAACATAATTAGCTCTTCTGTTGCTTAGCGTATCTCGCTTAAGGCAAAGAGTTTAACATTTCCCTAAGTGCGCACATGTTATTTCTGCTTGTAAGTGTTGAATAAATCGAAAGGAAAGAACAGTCTTGAGGATTATAGTTGACGCAGGACGCTTCAAAACTCTCGTCAATTCTAAGTTATTCTTATTTCTTCGTTGCGTTATTTGAACTCCCAGTTATCTACAACCTTGTGTATGTAGCTTGAATAGAAATGGTAAAACTTACCTTTTACTCGTTCGCAGGTTCTGTAACTTACTTGAGTCTGGCCGGTATGTACTGCGTAAAATAGAACAAACAATTAACTTTTGTTTAAACGCGCGCGCTGTCAGTTTCTGCTTTGGCGACCATAAACAAGGGCCCTTTAACCCTACTGGCCTGCCGCCTGCCGGCTTTCTGAAAACCACGTGTCTCAGGGAAACATCAACATTGTTTCCAGGACTCCCTCTTCCATTAAAACTGAATAGGATGCACGGAAAGGGATAGCGGAACGCGAGATTATAAATTACAAGCACGGGTGTCATCATTGAACGACCCGGTTAAGTACTTTAGGTACGGGTTCCACTAGCCAGTTCCAAATGAGAAAAAAAAAAAAAAAGAGAGAGACATGGTAAGGACATAGTATACAGCACAAAACAAGATAAGGGGGGATCGATTCCATTTGTTTTTCTGCTTTTTTACATCTCCTGAGGCCTGAGTAATGCGCGCAATGAGCACTAACCATCAAGCAGCTCTGTTTGGAAGTGGCGCGAGCCAGCCTCGAAGGATTTGGGCGTCACGGGGCGCTTTTCGCCTATCCCGCTTCTCAAGAGGGAAGCTTGCTGCCTATGCTTGCATAACATGCGAACGCAAACGTATCTCTTGCTGTCGCTTTGTCTCCAATGACTTTTTCGACTTTTTGACAGAGACA